ACTGCAAGTTGCGTTCGCCGCGTGAAGGCCGATCGATAGTCTGCGGTAAGTGCGGCTTGCTGCCTGTATGCTCGCCGTCTGTTAGGCTCCTCCTAACACTTCCGGCCCGCTGTGGAGCAAGCGGGGGACAACGTCAGATGCGACTGTTGAAATTTCGTGTCTTGTAATCGAAAACCTCTTTTACAAACGAAAACCTCGTTTGCCTCAAGCGGAATAAGATGCGGTTTTCTACAAGCGATTGCGAGAATTAAAATTTTGCCTACTCTCTTTACGAAGTGCAACCAAAGTAAATTCATTGTCGGGAGTGCTCCGAATAGCTGACTGAAATAACACCACTGAAAACTAGCACAAAGCATTATACAAACTTACTTGGCAACCTTTTTCATGCTAAGCATTATCGTATCCCCATGTAACTAATATCTTTTCATGTAAAAGGATAGTTAAACACTGAAATCTTTGCTTAGAAAATGTTAATATACCCTGCATTGGAATAGATGTTGACATCTTTACAAAGACTTGCATGTTGTAGATGAATAACCTGAAATCCCCTTGGATACTGCGTTGTTAAATATGAGTTCCAGGGCTGAACAGTGAAGACGGAGGAACTTGATCTCTGGCTGACTGTTGTCTATTGTCACCCGTTGACTGAGACAAACAGGCACGACTTTAATGAAACCAGGAAACAAGAAGAAGAATAGGCCTCTCATTCAATATTTGCAATAATTGATGTTCTGCAAGATTTTGCTTATTCTAACTATTTCCAAATAATTTCAAGTCACAGTTCTTGCATAACGGGTACGAACAGCTAATAGACATTATAATTATTGAGTCACAGCCCATGTTAGAGATCGCAATTGCCTCTGGTTAAAACGTTGTGTCTGGCAAGGTTTCTCTTCACACTTGAGAAAGAATTCTGAGTCTGAGTGGTATTTTTTCTCCTACTTCGTTACTTACCGTTGATGCTAACATTATTAAAGCGGCTTAACTTGAATCCCAATGATTATGAAATCGGTTTTCCCATTTTACTAACGTGTTATAGTTACTGGTTGAAGGAATGGGAATTCACACGATCAAATATCGTAGTTTACTGTTCAAGCCCACTGACAAGGAGCACTGTAAGAGACCAAAGAAGCTGTTTTGGGTGATGGCGGACGCTGTGAAAATAATAGAAACAATCGCTAAACTTCCTGCTTTGTATATACTATTCTGCAGGTAAAGTTTATCCAAGTCAGGATTCACTGCCTATTTACAACAAATACTTGTGTTGATAAAGAAATACGTTCGATAAAGTGCATCGCTTTATGATTCAGTTAAGGCATCTTCTTTTGATGAAAGATGAAAAAGAAACTTTACATACGCAAAAAATGGGTCCAAATTGTCAAGAGCCCATTCGTATTGTAAGCCGAGAGGAAGCTGGTCTGCTTCTCATCCCCAGTTGGATTATAGCAGTCGAGCAGTTTATAAAGTCGGTCTTTATGTCCTGCGTTATGAAGAAAGATATTGAAGTTTGAAAAACGGCGCAAATAGTGGTATTGTAGTTTTTGCTCTACGATCTTAAAAAGGCAAAAGAAGTCGGTCTTAATCCATGAAAATCTATTTCTTCCATTGAAATAAACGATAGTTTTTTTATATTTTCGTTCCATTATCTCGTTTGGTGATATAATAGATTTACTATGGGCCAAAAAATGAACATATCCTTAACCAGGACTCTGACATTTGTTTCTCATTCGAAAGGATTAATTAGGTAGGATTGTAATGTTAGTTAATTTTCAGCATAAACTTGCGATATTTCGTATGAGATCTGAATGAATTTATTTCTGGTCATCTACAAAGCCCCACGTCGACAACCTTGGCTATGTAGTTATGGTATACTTTCGCATTGATTTCCACCGTTTCTATAACTGTACATTTGTTCCAAGACACCTGACCAATAATATTTTTTTTCTACTTTTTCGGTAGCAAATTCGGCTTTCATCAAATTTTTTATCGGAAGAAAGCTTACCTCGCGGTTCTTTGACGTTTTTTACTCCCCAAGCACTGTAAACCCATCTATTATTGCAATCGTCTAGAGTTTATAATTAACGGATATACATTCTTGCGTTAGAAAATTCGCGAACATGCCTGCGTTTTTTAAAAAAAAGCACGAAAAGGGCCAAAATTGCTTATGGCGGGATTCGACATAAGTCGTTCCTTAGAGGTATATCAGAAAAATTGCGAACTAACAAGACAGATCAAAAGATTCAATGAGCTCCTCGCATTACGCCAGTGAAACTTTTCAAATTATAAAATTGAAACATTGTTTTCCCGGAAGAAATTTGAACAAGGCAAAGATCACGAGATTAGCAGACCACTGCAATACGGAGAAGAAAACCAGAACACTGGAAGCTGCTGGATTATGTGATCAATTCCGCATTGCCATGGTAATGATCGATAAACTCCTTCCCGCTAAAGTATCCTCGTCCCCCTTAGGACTGGCTGCTACCCTATCCCCTGCCCCAACCCCTCCCCCCTTTAACCACCTCCTACAGGCTTTCATGAACATGAACTAACACGAACTGCCATACTGTGACAACTATCGCCCCCTCATCTATCCCCTTAACATGCGCCCACATTTTAGACTAATTGTTTTTACTCTAGTAGATAGGCGTACGCCGATCAGATACAGGGCATACCCGCCCTGGTTTTCGATGTCCAATGGGTTTAGACACTCCCAAACCTTTGTTACACGGCTAATTGTAATGTTACTTACTAAGTTTCAGTAAAATTTTTGTTATTTTAGGATATTTTACCGTAAGATAGGAGAATCCAGGATGGACATTTCTACCTAATTAGGCGTCGACGGCTGGATATACTCTACTCAAGTTGAGCAGCGGAAATTGCCGCCACCCTCGAGTTTCGAACCCGCGTCTCTCCGGTCAGGGGCAGACGCCCTATCCATCGAACTATCGGGCTCGACTTCTTGACGGTTGTTGATCGGGACCATACATTAGTAGATAGGCGTACACCGATCAGATGCAGGGCACACGCGCCCTGGTTTTTGATGTCCAGTGTGTTTCTACTCTCTTTACCTATCAATTTTCACCCTTCTAGGCTGGAACTTAATTGAACAGTCAATTATCTTATTAATAGGCAACCACCATCCGCAGTCGACTAAGAGGTCACGAAAGTTTATGACGTCGATAAACCCTGCTAATCTCGTGTTATTTGCCCTTTTTAAACTCTGATTGACAAAGCGTATAGATGGGTTATTAGGGCACTGCTGGATAGTCCAATCCCAAATTTCGTTATAGAAGTAGAACTTCGAGAGCCGGAACAACCTTTATCAGGCAGTACCAACCTGAATAATAAGATTATATCGAACACACTGCCAGACTGCGCAACACTGCGCCCATCAAAGGTACAGGTAGGCAATGCGCGGTGGAAAATTAAAAAGACATTGACTGATGTTTTGCTGTACATTATCGTCTCTAGTCCTGAGCCCCTATGCTGATCTAAAAGCCTTACAAATACGATGAGTCTTCTGCCTATCAAAATATTTTCTAGTCGTCTTCTTAACAAAATATACTTCAAATAACAAAACCTAAAGTAATTCAGTGTTGACAGTTGGAAATACGAACAGCTAATGCTATCTAATTTGTATAGGACCATCACAATACTGAAGGATCCTAATATAATACTTTAAGTAAAAAATGAAGGTTAGAAGCCCTTTCGTACAGAGGGGAAGCCTGTGGATCGTTGACCAAGACCTACCTAAGGGAAAGTTTCGAGAATCGTTGAACATAGATAACCCCAGGGTTGCGACCATCAGAAGCAGGAATATAAAGACCAGGTATAAAGTTTGGTGGAAGTTTCCAAATTCAATGAAGACCACACAAGCGGCAATAGATATAAAAATGCAAGTGATCAACTTCTCGAAACTCGAATCTTCTGTTGTTGCAGCTAGAATCGTACCTCCATCTAAAGAAAGGATAGAAAATATAAAAGGAATTTTTTCTTTCTAATGCAAACGGATAGATAACTTCAACTAGGGACGTGACATACTAAAAATTTATTTAGAAATTAAGATGTGGCCCTGCCTCTTTTTCTTCACCTCGGTTAGTACAGTGGATCACTTGTCTTATTAAATGTCAACCGAAATTCTGAAGCGTGTTTTCTGGTTGCAGTACTAATTATTTTCCAGGTAAATCCCATCATATTTCAAACACGCCGAATTTTGAGAGAGCCTCCTTCCAGCCACTTGAACAACGTATTTTCTGGGAACGATGGCAACTGAAGCAGCATGCATTTTGCGCATTGACTTTCGATGCTCCCATAAACTCAAATGTATTTTATCAGAAATTTGCATAAAATACACCTTTTTTCTTTCGGTTTGAAGTATAAAAAAGTATCTTTGGGTTTCTAAAACGTCCTTAACTATGCAATTATTACGATGTGAGATTTTCAGTAATAACAGATTGTATCCATCAATTTACCATATTAGCCTATAAAGTATGCCACACGATCCAAATCTATTGGAAACTTTATGAGAACTTTATTGTCTTTTCCCCGTAGGTGACAAAAAGGGTGTTATTTTCTCTGGATATAATGTATTATGTATGTAGTTTGCAAACCTTCAATTGAATTGTTACTCCGATTGGGTTAAAAATTATTTGATCATTCAGAAAGTATTTTAAAAATAAAATATATCCTTTGTTCAAGTGAAATATTTAAATAAGACGTTACTGCCAAACGGGTACAAGAAAATATATTTTCTCCATAGTTTCTGTACGACTGATTAGAATTCACCGGAGCGTTTAACATTAACGAGAGAAGGGCATACTGTGTGAGTCACTATTTTATGGCATAATTTTGCAGATAGCCAGATCGAAGCTCTTCTAGAGCAATAACATCGATGTAACTGAAACATCTTGGGGCTTGGAGGTACGATAGTCAACATTAAACCCCTATTTGAATAATCCGTACGAATTTTAAACACATTTCAGAATTTCGGTAGACGTTTCACAAGATGGGGAATGAGGTTTGACCAGTTGCTTGATTTTTGACCTCTCTTATTCTATGCTACAGGCTGTTCTTTAGTAGCAGGACCGTTATTTGCCCTCTGTTACTGTTTTTTAATAATAATATTATTTCCTAATTAATTTTACTATCTCGATTTTATACACTTTTGCGTACTGTGTAAAAATATTTTGAGGTAATTATAGACTAATGAGAATGCACGAATCGTATAAACATTTCAACATGTGTATGCACATATTGTGCCCCTTTTGTCAAGGTAATGATCAATCTCCGTATATTATACTAGTTATTCTAAGGATTTGGTTCTAACAAAACTACGAATATTTGAAGGGGCAGCAAAAACATTGTAGCCAGCAAAAGTGAGAACAGAAGTATCGTACTATTGATAAAGGACAAGTACCAAGTTAAAGACAGAATGTGACACAGAAGCTTATATCAGTACCTATATGGCCAATATTCTGTATAACTTTAAAACACTTACGATGATCGACCTACAAGCTATTATAAAAATACAACTACACATGTTCCACGATACATCCCTGCGCGCTGTTTCGTAACGGAAGTAATGCACTTTAATAGCGACTTCCCTTATTTTTACTTTCAAATATTGCATTTGGTTACAAATTTTTCCTTAACACTCTCAACACCTATATTTACTATCCTCCCGTCTTAAATAACCCACTGGTTTAGGTTTTGTTAGTGCAGTTGCACTGTAGGTCCGCCAGATAGTTCAGGGGGCGGGGTGCACATATCCATACCCCACCGAAAAGCATTATCTACTGAACTGCGTTGAATTCATTTTGCTGAATGTCAGAAAAACTGCTGCTGTGCATAGATCACATCAACTCTACTTCAGCGGTCGACGGCCGTCCTGAGATTTTTAAATTATACACAAACCTTTCTCCAATGTCACATTTGCAGTATTGATTTGAGTGATAATAAGTCCACTGCCCTTGTAAACATCAACGCCAAGATGCCCTGACTACTTGGTGACATATAAAAGCCTATAAGCCCGTTTAATGTCTGCACTCGCGTATTCGAGGACATGCTCATTTTTGTCAGAGTCTAACAAGCAAAGCAACAACCAGGACATAAATCTTAAACCAAATTTTCATAAAAGATTTCTGATTGGTCATTAATAACGATCTCTGTTTCCGATATGATTTAACACATAGATATCTAATATGAACGCTACGTCTGTGTGATATTTGATGAATATAATTTCAGTATTGGATGATCAGTAAAATCTAAAACATTAAGAACTAGCCTGACTGGTATCAAAATGTTACAATAAAAGCTTCAAAGGTTATCTGAACTCTGAGAATATTTTAGTAAAATTAATCCTACAAATTCTTGTGGGCTTTCTACAAAAGCGTCAGCGCCTTATTTCAACTGTGGTAATAAATTCAGGAACTGATCTTTTCTATAGTAAATATTTGGACTCAAAACAATTTTGATGATATTTCCATTTCATACTGGCAAATTTTGCTGAAAATATCAAAAGAATGTTTACCGGAAACGTTAGTTTTCGTGCTATGAGTAAAACTCAAAAAGCCATGGAATGGAATGGTGTTTAGAAAACACTGCAACTAAACAGTGTTGTTGGGCGAAATTAACGAAGTACTTGTCTGCACTTTTCACTAGTATATTTGTTAAGAACGTACTTATAAAAGTGCCAAGTGATGCTAACTAAAAAGGCCTCCTGAGAGAATCGGCTCCTTAACCACTTTACTTTTTGTAACGGCAACTTTTTGATAAGGTTGTGACCAACTCGCAATAGTCGCACATTTGAAACGTAACTGACATTTCATTCTAGACAAGCATATTCAAAACTCACACCGTTTTAGCTGTCTCGACGATGAACATTTAGCAGTATTTACGTTGCCCTCTTTGAATTAAATCCTCAACCAGTCAACCACGTTACTCCCTAAAGCGTATTTAGGATACAAATCAGGCTAAAAATCTCCGAGATGTCCGTCTTATATTCGTTCTTTACCGGTCCTCTAATTTTACGGGTATATGTCAACCATTTCCTTCACCGATTTTCAACTTTCTCTTCTGTTATATTTATATGCGGCTGACAGTAAACAGCTGTTGTGACGAAGCAAACAGTAGAAGCATGATCGCTTGATCTGAATAAATTAACTGTTAATGTCGGACAATGGATGAGAGCAATGTAACAGATAGACAGAAGAGTATTATAAAACGTTCTAATAAAGGACTTACTGAAGACGATCATCATCAAGCTAACTACAGCCGTGAGTAAGAAATTGACGACCATAATGAGGTGTACAACCGTTCCAAATCGGCTTTTCACAACCTGCGGAAATGTTGCGGCACCGGGAGCTTTCGTACGCATTTCCAGTAGGATCAGAGCGAACAGCAAGACTGTAAATGAACTGGTGATGCTATATCCAATTGGACTAAGGATGCCGATCTGATGAAAGAGAAGAATGGGGCCTTGGACGAGGTTTGTCTCGGTGTAATATATTTATTAAACAACAGTGAGCATTATGTTTTACAACTCTCACAGAATTTGTATTATCCTCTAATCAGCCTAAGTTCTTGGTGCAAAATAGGCAACTTTAAATTTACTCAAACTCTAAATTAGAACTGACTTTAGATACTCTTATTTTACTGTGCTGGATAAAGTATAAAAATCGCCAATGCTATTAGTTCTTGAGACCAGGGTGATATTGGAGTTCGTCGGAAATTAGAAAGTAGGCCTGCTCTATTTTACAAGGAGTGGTTCCGAACGAAATTGATAGTCTTAGAACACTTGCACAATATCGGCCTAGTCAAGTTAACATCTATTGCTCCCAAATAAATATACGTACAAAGCAAAGTCAAAGATTTGTCAAAGTTATCAACGACAATTCCATTTTATAATAGAAAACTTGGGTAATCAAACGACTTTTCGACCTCATTTTAATTATTTGCATTCATTACAGCTCCAAATGTTACCAAGAAGTGTTTCGCAAACTTTCCGCAACGCCCAGCACGGTAGTCAATTTTCACTTTTAATATGGACTTTTTGCATAATTTATTGCTCGTTACAATAAGTATCGTATAGGTTATAGGTTGGGCTAGCATCTCGAACATCCTCTCAGGTCACCCAGCATTTTAGTTATCATATGGTAAGACTGATGTTTTTTTCTGAAAACTTCTTTGCCAGCCAAGCATCAAACAAAAAAAAGGGGGATGATTAAGACAATGGCGTTTTCAGGCACTTTTGTTTTTCTATGGCATAATAAACTGAGCCCTAAATCTGTGCAGTTATTAATATGGCGGAACTCCAATAACCGCATCTGAAATTAAGAAAGTGGACCATGCGTTGCTAAACTCTTGGGGATGACATCCACTTTGCTTCTAAATGAATTTCGCGCACTAATTTGTAAGCATTTTAGCGACGCCAATATGGACACTGACTTGTTGTCGGGACTGGCATAATTTTGAATGTTCACTTACATACAGGACAGCACAGTTCGGCATTATTAAGCAGGGAAGAGTTTCGAAAAATTTTGAAACTCATGACCGATCACTTCGTGGGGTTCTCTGGTTATGAATTTCAGGCAGCCTTGAGCAGGTTGTCATTTGCAGTTGTTGTATGTGATTGTAAACCGACGTTTGTGTACTCATATCGGTTGTTATTGCAGAATAGTAGCAGACAAACTGGAGGTTGTGGTGCACTGTACTCTTCTTCTGATAGAATCGACACTTGCAATTTTTGCAACAGATAAGCATGCTCAAGCTTCAGCTGTGTACTAACTTACGAGCAAAAGTTCATTTTATTATCTTCTTTTCTTATGTGATATGAGCGGCCTGTTTTGCCAAACGTCACCGTTGAAATACCTGGAGTTTGCTATGGAAGGTACATGACGGCTAGTAAGCCAGAAATGGCCGTTCCAACGTCCCCTTTTCAATGCCGGTAGTGTTATTCTGCTTATACCATTAGTCACTGTGTGGCTGTTGGCGGGGTTCGCGATTGAGCCCCAAAGCGCAACGGAAGAAGTGATTCCAGTAACTGATCAGAGAGCACCCATCTACCATTGATAATATTCGCGATCGAAACCGACGAGCTCGTGGCTCGTGATTACAACGTTGGACTTTTAACCAGAAGGACGCGGTTTCGAGCTACGGTGGTGCAATACCCTGGTTTGGGTGTGGCTGAATGTTGAAAGCTAATAAGCCAGAAACGGGAAATCCAGTTTCCCCAGTCTGGTGCCATAAAATGCCTATATTGGACCAAAAATCAGAAGATAAACATAATGTTGAAAATATTGTAAAAAAATAGAACTACTTGTGTAGCAAGGTCAACGGAATGCACGAGGGTATTTGGCCAACAGATTTGGACAGCCAGGTACGTCATTGCAAAGCCGACATTTGTTTTTACATAGGGAGCCAGTTTATCCTAAAAAGATATACAGTAGATTACATATCTGGTGTAAGGTTGGGGATTGGAGGATTTAACGCACACTTGAGGTTGGTTATTTAGTTAATTGGGTTGAATTGGGTCGCAAAATGTTGTTTACTAGAATTTAATTACGTTCATCCCAGAAAGCTGGGAAAAAATAAAGGCAAAATGGGCAAAATCTAGCGTTTGATGATATCCGAGGAAGTTCCTACGCTATTAAACGCTGCGAAAAAGAACATCTTGTGTGTGCATGTTGCACTATAAAAGAACATTCATGAAGA